CTAGACTAGCTGGAACTGGTGTGCTCCACACTCAGAGACCCTGCCTCGGTAAATAAACTGGAGACTTGTTGAGGAAAATACACTATGTCAACTTCGGGTATCCACCTGTATGAGCTTATAGGTTTACCTACACACGAGTACACTACATACACACACACACACACACACACACACACACACACACACACTTAAGAAAAAGAAAAAAGAGACCATTAAGAAAATGAAAAGATGCCAGGCAGTGGTGGTGCATGCCTTTAATCTTAGCACTTGGGAGGCAGAGGCAGGTGGATCTTTTTGAGTTTGAGGTCAGCCTCGTCTACAGAGTGAGTTCCAGGACAGCCAAGGTTACACAGATACACAGAGAAACCCTGTCTCAAAAGAGAAAGGAAAGGATTTCACAGCAACTAAGGATAAATTCTTGGAAAAATTAAAGAATACATAAGACAAGACCAAATATTAGTAAAAATATGGAGGAATAGAAGCCTCCATACATTTCTAGTGTGGATGTAGTAGTACAGTCACTCTGGAAGGCAGTTTGGCAAGTTATTAAAAAGTTAACTGCGGCTGGCTGGGTGGAAGTTTAATCCCAGGTAGAGGAAGGTGGATCTCTGAGTTCAAGGCCAGCGTGGTCTACAGAGAGAGTTCCAAGACAGGCTCCAAAGCTTCATAGAGAAACCCTGTCTCAGAAAAAAAAAGTTAACTGTAAATGAGAGGGAAAGGAAAAACAAAATGGTCAACCATAAAACCATACATGTCCCATACTAGTTCTGTTCTTGGTTATTTATTCCAAATGAAATGAAAGCAGATTCCTAAAAAGACTTTCAGTGAGTGTTTAGGTGAGCATTATTTATAATAGCCAAAAACTGAAATCAACCTAATGTCCATCAACTGATGAATGTGTTCTATCCATGCAGTAGAACACTTTGTTTCTTTTACATTATGTTTTAATGATTTCCAGTGGTGTATCTATTTTCCAGATTTCTTTACCCAACGTAATTTCTTAGATAACCTTTTTCCTGGATTCATTATAATTTTACAGTAACCGTTACTTGAGGAATTTCCAAAATAAGTGAGTTTGTTATTTGTTTGTTGTATGTTGTTTGAGTCCTTACATGCACCAAAACATTTTTATTTTTGCTGTTGCATGAGCCTCATTTTTCCTCAGAACTTTAAGGGTATAAAACTCTGACCTATAGCCGTACCACCCTGAGTGCTCTATTCTCGTCTTATTTCAGAAGCTAAGCAAGGCCCCAGCCTACTTAGTGCTTGGATGGGAAATCACCTTGGAATAATGGGTGCTGTCGGCCTTAGAAAAAGATAGGAAGCAATGAAGGAAAGGATAGAATACTCCATTGTTTACTAGCTTCCATTGTTGCTGGTGAAATTTTTTATATCCATCTGATTTTCAGACTTTGATTCCTCTCTGAAAACTCTTGTATTATTTCTTTAGTCTTAAGTTTATGGCTTTCTTAGGGGCATTTAGTCACATGTCAACACTTCTAAGTCCTATGAGCCTAAACTTGTGCTCTTTTTCTGTGTCTTTTTGTTGTTATTGTTGGGGTTTTTTGGTTGGTTGGTTGGTTGATTTTTTTTTTCTTTGAAACTTCTTGGAAAATCTTGTTTCTAACATGTAGTTTACTCCCGTTACCATGGTTAACCGAAATTAGCCCTCACAGTGTAAGAACAGATAGATGTTCATGAGAATAGTGCTTTCTCTATGCTTGCAATATTGGAATTTGTCCCAAAATGAATAAATACAACAGTGTTAAGAATGTGGACATGTTTTGTATGTTTAACAAATCTAAAGAAAGAATATTTTTAAATTCTCTGGCTAGACGTTCTGATGTCCTGTGTAGATTGGTACCTAAAAAACTTAATGTTTTCTCTGCCCCCCAATTCATTACACTTCTGATTCCCTCAGATGTTACCCTGAATGCGTATCTCTCCTTTAGAATGCTGATTTTCCTCATTTGTTTGGTAATTGCCTTAGCATTTTGCTCATCTTTGTGTTTTATAGTCCATTCATCTACTTAAGGGCTTAGTAACATACCCACAATGATCACAAGGGAGGGGCGGGTTATGGCATTGCACTATTCTGCAACCCAGCTTGCAGCCCTGTGGGTGTTTGGCCTAGCTCTTCCAGATGTCTCTCATCTGTCAATCATCCTAATATGTCTGAGTCTCTAATTCAGTCCTCTGTGTCCACTGGCTTGAAGCTCTCCCAAGTACTGCTGCCTGTGAATTCCATCAGCTACTCTCTTTCTGCCCTACCTGTATCCTCATAACTTTATGTGCTTCCATGTTGTCCCCATGTATGAGTGGTACTAATTGAATGTAAATGTTATTTCCACAGGGAAATTCTCCTTAACTGCCCAATTTCAAGTAACTTACTAGTTACATTCTATTACTTCACTTCAATTTATGTTCATCATAGCATTCATCTATAGTTAATAGTTCTCCAATATCCCCCAATGTGGTTGTTATTGGATAAAAAAAGAAACTGCTAAATTAAAGCAACCTGTATACTGTAGAGAGATGCTGAACTCAGAATAAAAACTAAGATATGTATTTTTAAAAAAAAAAAATAGTTCTCTACCAGTCTTTTCAGAACTCAATTCTACTAAGAATTCGTTTTTTTTTTAGTTTATTGCTCAGTCTTAAATTATTAGGGCAGTGTCTGGCATATAATAGACATTTAGTATATATCTTTTAAAAATATGTGTCATATCTATTTGAATTACCTTAAATTTTAGGACTTGTGCCAGGACACTGACTGAGCAACTATTTTGTATTAATGTTTTATTTGTACAGCAACAACAAAAACACAATTAACTAAACACTGCTCTTTGCCAAAAAAAGGTCTCAGCATTAATTATTTGAACAGTATAAAATAGAATGTTTTTAACTTCCTATATTTCAGCCCATACATCCTAAAAGAAAAGCTTGAGGAAGAAATAAAAACAAAGCTTCGATGCTGTAAAAACACCATCACAAAATGACTAGAAGTCCAAAGCTTCTACAACTGTATGAGACATAAGTAACCCCAAGCTATAATGACGTGCATCACCTTATGTCATGTTAGCAGGAGCCCCTTTAACAAACTCAAATTCCCTTGCCTACATTTCAAAACCCTTAAATGGTTAAGGATTCACTGTGCTGAATAAAACTTTTATGTTTACCTCCAGCTTCTCTTAAAGTAAACTTTGTAGTATTAACTAGTCAGCTGAGCAGTATGTGAAGTTACAGAGAATTTTGTAGTTTAAAAACATGTTTTAGGTCTGGCAGGATAAGTCAGTAGGTAGAGGTACTTGCCACCAAGATTGACAACTGAGTTCAGTGTCTGAGAAGCACTCGGTAGAAGGAGAGAACTGACTTCTGTCAGTTGTCCTATGACCTCTATACATGTGCTGTAGTTCATGTACATGCACCTACACACACACAATAAAATAAAATGTAAGTTAGAAAAATTTGAACAAGGCTGGGCGTGATGGCACATGCCTTTAATCCCAGCACTCAGGAGGCAGAGGCATGTGGGTCTCTTTGAGGTTCAGGCCTTAGATAGAAACCTGAGGCCAACCTGTTCTTCATACTGAGTTCCAGGACAAGCCAGTGCTAGATAGAGAGATCTTGTCTCAAAAAACAAAGTAAATAAAAAATAAAATTTAAGATCCAGAGCTGGATAGTTGGCTCAGTGGTTATCTTAGTTTGGGTTTCTAATACTGGGAAGAAACACCATGACCATGGCAATTCTTATAAAGGAAAACATTTGAGTTGGGTGACTTACAGTTCCAGAGGTTTAGCACATTATCATGGTAGGGAGTATAGTGGCATGCAGTCAGACATGGTACTAGAGAAGGTACTAGAGAAGATGTAGGAACTACTCTACATCTTGATTCATAGACAACAGGAAGTAAACTTGGTGCAGCTTGAGCATATAAATGAAACCTCAAAGCCTGCCTACACAATGACACACTTCCTCCCACAAAGCTGTGCCTACTCCAATAAGCCACGCTTCCTAATAGTGCCACCCCTATGAGTTTATAGGGACCAGTTACATTCAAACTGCCACAGTGGTTAAAAGTACTTTGTTTGTTTGTTTGTTTGTTTGTTTGTTTGTTTGTTTTGGGGGGAGTGTTTCAAGACAGGGTTTCTCTGTAGCTTCAGAGGCTGTCCTAGAACTAGCTCTCGTAGACCAGGCTGGTCTTGAACTCACAGAAATCCGCCTGCCTCTGCCTCCTAAGAGCAGGGATTAAAAGGATGCACCACCTCTGCCCGGCAAGTACTTGTTTTTATAGTGGACCCGATTCAATTCCTAGCATCCACATGGTGGCTTGAAACTATCTGTAAATCCAGTCCCAGGGGATCCAAAGCTGCCTTCTGACCTTTGAGGGCACTGGGCACATATGTGGTACACATATATACATTCGGGGAAGCACTCATGCACATAAAACAATAAAATTAAGCATGTTTTAGGGGTAGAGATACAGGTCAGTGCTTAGGGCACTTGCCTAATGTGCATCATGCCTTGGGTTTGGTTCCCTGCACATGTGTACACACCAAATGTTTTTGTTTTGAAGGATAATCCTTTAATTACATGTTAAGTTGACAAAACAAAAGAATCTAATAGTCATATTACTGCTTAGGTCAACTCCCATGCCTGGGCCTCTCAGTGGGTCTTTATCACTAGAACATTAGTCCTTTCCGCTTCTATATAATTAGTGTTACAAATTTGTAACAGCATAGAAAATAATTTTGTATATAGAGATCAAATTTATTCACATGCTTTTCTTTGAAAATATTTTCATCTATATAGAAAAAGGAGAGGGCATTTTATAGAACTCAGTCAAAATTCCTGTTTTATATTATTAGATGCAAAACATCCAGAAGGCTACTGTAGATGTATATGCTTCTTCCAGCAAGTGGAATTACCCTTACAGAATTAACATCTTACCTTTGTAATTATTACAGTAATTCTTTTAATTTTGTCATCATTTATTTAGGCAAAGATCCAATTTACACTATTCCAGTGAAAAACATTCTTGCAGTGGAAAAACTGGAAGAAAGCTCTTTCAACAAGAAAAATGTAAGTTGTATAAGTATTGAAAGCATTTTAAATTGTTGTATATAAATTATTTTAGTATTTGTCACTCAGATCTCTAATTTCCCAACTTACGTCTACTATTGGCAGTCACCAGGATGGCATCCCTGGTCCTTGTTATCTCCTCACTACTTTGTCGTTCCTCAGCCTTCCTCCTACATCTCAGATTACTCCTCTTTGTTCCTATTCAGATAGTGGACTTTCCTTTGGACCTGTATGACATCTACAATTTATATTGTTCTACTACTTAGTGCCATCAACTAAGATAGATACTATGACCACAGCAACTCTTAAAGAAAAGCATTTAATTGTGTGGCTTACAGTTCAGAGGTTCAGTCCATTATTCATGGTGTAGGACATGGTGGCATGCAGGCACACATGGTGCTGGAGAAGTAGCCAAGAGTCCTACGTCTTGCAGGCAACTAGAAGTGGTATGTCTCACTGGGAGTGGCTTGAGCATAGGACACCTCAGAACCCATCCCCACAGTGACACAGTTCCTCCAATAAGACCACACTACTCCAACAAAGCCACACCTCTTAAAGGGGCAATTTTCCTTCAAACTACCACAGGCACTGACTTGCTTAGAGAGTAACAACTCTTTAAGATACATTAGCAGACATTTCTTAGCGAAGCAACCAGGTTTCTTTCTAAGTACTTACATATTCCATTTGTGTACTATGTGTTGGTTTTAAGGTTTTTTTAACTTTTTGTCTTTATTACCAATGAAGATGTTCCAAGTGATACATACAGAGAAAACACTCTACGTCCAAGCAAATAACTGTGTGGAAGCTAACGAGTGGATAGATAAGCTGTGCAGGGTGAGCAGATGCAACCACAACAGGCTCAGTTCTTTTCACCCTTCCGCATATCTCAATGGAAACTGGCTCTGCTGCCAGGAGACAAGTGAAAATACACCAGGCTGCAAGCCATGTACTGCGTAAGTTCCTTTCTGATGAAAGCAGTAGCTATTCAAAATGTCTGTACATACAGTGGATATGGATGTGAAAACAAGCTAAGTCAAAGAAGCTATACATAAAGGCCACATATTGTTTGAAAATACTTCTATAAAAGGTATCTAAAAGGGCTTGGGTTGTTGCCTAGTTGTTACATGATACACACAAGTACTTTGGTTGGATCCTAGTACCACAAAAAATAAATAAATAGAATAAGTAAATTCATAGACACATAATGTAAATTAGTGGTGGCCAGGGACTGGATGGATGGGAGAATGGAGACTGACAATGAGTGCAAAATTTCTTTTGTGGGTGATAAAAATATTCTGAAAATATTAGTGGTTGTACGTGTCTGGGGGTGGGAGTTTAGATGTAGCACAGGTTTGAGGGCCAGATTAAAGGTTGATGGTAGAGCATTTGCCAAATATGAGCAGTGATCTGCTCCATCATCAACACCATTAAAAGACAAGTCAGCATCTGAAGCCTGAGCGAGATAAGAAGGGCTAGAGAGATGGCTCAGTAGTTAATAGCACTTACTGCTCTTGCAGAGGATCCAAGTTTGGTTCCCAGCACCCACATTAAGCAACTCTCAACTACCTACATCTCCAACTCCAAGGTATCCAAAGCCTGTGGCTTCCTCAGGCACCTGCACTTAAATGCACACACTCACAAATACACACAATTAAAAATAATAAAAATAAAATCTAAAATTAAAGAAGTCCACTAAACATTCTGTTTTAGATATTATGGAATAGCCATTGTTGCCATTGTTTTTGTGAAGAACCATAGGTTATAAAAATGATTTTATTGGGACTGGAGAGTGGTTAAGAATGCTTGCTGCTCTTGTAGAGAACCTCAGTTCAGTTCCAGAAGCTGTGGAACTCCACCTCCAGGGAATCTGATGCCCTCTTCTAGCCTCTGTCTGTACCCACACATGTGCACAGATACACACACACATACACATTAAAAAGTTATTTTACTTCCAAATCCTCTTCAGTATGACCCTGTTTAATTATCTCAGAAACTGATTTCTGAGGTCCCTTTTTCCAAAGTTCTAAATCTAGTTTTAGTCTAAATTCATCAAAAATTTTTTGTCATGGTAACAAAGAAAATTTTTCCAATGTCTTTAATTTTCTTTTTATCATAGAGGTATCCCTGCAGACATCCAGATAGATATCGATGAAGACAGAGAAACTGAAAGAATTTATTCCCTTTTTACCCTCAGTTTACCTAAGCTGCAGAAAATGGAAGGTAAACAGACTCTACTTTTATAAAACCATGATCTTTTATTACTAATTTCTGAAGTATTCCTTTGATTTGAAAAAAATTGAAAATATTTATAGATTTACTAAATTACTGATAATGAAGTTCACAAACCATCAAAAGGGGCTGTTGATGAAATAAAGATACTGTTCTTATGTAAATGTGGTGGTTCTGTTTAGTAAAATTGTTATATACTATAGTCAAAATCTCTCTTAAAAACCTCAAAATTTTTTTTAATTATACTACAGATTACATTTGTGGAATTTAGTTTTCTGATCATATTTCACTGCCCCTTACAGAGGCTTGTGGAACTATAGCAGTCTATCAAGGGCCACAGAAAGAGCCTGATTATTGTAACTTCACAATTGAGGATTCTGTTACGACCTTTAAGACAATCCAGCAAATAAAAAGCATCATAGAGAAGCTAGATGAGCCTCATGAGAAATACAGAAAGAAAAGATCAAGTAGTGCAAAATATGGAAGCAAGTAAGTGTCCCCAGGCTCCTGCTCCCTGTCCCCTGCTCCTCAGCCCATGCTCATTCAGTTCTGCTGTCATTGCATGACGTGGTGCTGGACTTGACGACTGCTTTGAATGTCAGGCTCGGTGGTAATTTGCTCCTTGAATGATTAGTAGCTCTTTTCTCTTGTTTTTTGCCTCTCTATTTCTCACAACACCTTACATTTATAATGAATACCAAACAAGCAAGCTGTGACAGTGCATGAAAGCCTTCGGTAGTTGATTCCAAGTGCTTTATCTCAGACACGGAAGGAAAGATGGGTAAGGACAGCAGCAGCCGACACACACTGGGAGCTTGTGACCCCCAGGATGCCACACTCAGCGCTGGACACCCCGTCATTCACATTACTCCCAGTAGCCAGTAACAAACTCCTGAGGGAAGTTCATAGTCTCACCAGTCAAGACCAGGCTTATACAGACAGTTAATGCAGGAACTAGGCACTGTCATTGGGAGCTGTATAGCACTAAGGTAATCTAAATCTTGCAGCTTTTCTATTAGGGTACCAGATTAGGCACAGAAGTTCAGAGCCCCGCTTTCTTTTCTAAGATAATGTTCACAGACAGAAAAAGAAAAGAAGCTTGTCTAGAGTAGCCCCCAGCCCTCCCTGACACACAGGACTCCACTGTGACCAGGGTCCTGCTAGTAACAGTGAGTTGGAAGGTTTGCTTCCTGGACCAGCAAATAACTGTTTTCCAGTGTATGCTCCTCTGTCATTCAGCTCATAACAGCCTAGCATGGTTTCCTTCCCACTTTATATGTAGAACACCATTAGTGGGAAGACTTTGAATCTTTGTTGCACTATTTTAACTAGTTTTTGAAAATTATGTCAGTATTTTTGTATTTCTGAATACGAAAAATCAGTTTTATTGGTATAAATACATTCTTCCTGAAGAGAAGCTTATTATATTACAAAGGTTGTATTGTAAACATCCTAATTCTGTATTTTCCTCATTATATAGTTGAATCTCTTCCAACAAGAGTTAGTCTAATTTTCCTGGAGCCCTTCATAGTTCCTAGCCAAGATTTGGCCATCAATAAGTAGTACCTCACCACCAGGCATGGTGGCACATGCCTTTACTCCCAGCACTTAGGAGGCAGAGGCAGGCAGTTCTGAGTTCAAGGCCAGCCTGGTCTACAGATGAGTTCCAGGATAGTCAGCTATTACACAGAGAAACCCTGTCTTGAAAAAACAAAAACAAACAAAGTATCTTATCATTTATACCTGCCTCGCTTTATTTTTCTCTATTAAAAAATGCCAGCTCAGCTGCTGGTGGTATTCTTGCTTACTGCCCAGCCAACTGCCCCTTGCAGTGTACTTTACACATCTGTTTTCTTTCTTTAATATTTTTTGGGGGGTTGGCGCTGAGAAAATAGCTTAGTGTTAGTGTGGTTGACTAGCATACAGCACTTGGGGAGGGGGCAACAGCAAACAATCAAATCGTCTTACACTAAATACTTTTGCTTATTTTCTTTTCCTATACCATCATGTGAGCTCCATGAATTATGCATCTGTCTTGTTCAGTACTGTATGCTTAGCTTCTAGAATATTGCCTAAAGTAGTTAAGTGATCAGAAATACTTGTTGAATTAATAAAGCAAGATAGTATATGAGAGATCAAGGAAAATTAGAAGTGCTTGGTGGGTTCTGAATATGTCACATTTATTTTGTATATCTTAAAGAGTAATTTTCTCTTACTGTTTTGTAGGGAAAATCCAATTGTTGGGAAAATATCATAGTTTGGCCAACTGATGGAGAACTGGAAAATATTCTTTTTCATGGAGTTTTTTAATTCACCCAATTTTGTTCAGAGTATGTAAGAGCAGACATTGACTTTGATGACACCTGCTTTCACATTGTATTTAATATTTAATGGTTGGAATTAACTGTTTGGGAATTCTGATATCGATGAGTTTATTACTAGAGAATTTGAAACCCAAGATTTCCTTCAAATCCAAGTCACTGCAACTTCTTTCTGATAGAATCTTTCTAAGGAAGGTTCCTGAGAAGCTTTGTAACAAAGGGAGTACTTCATAGTAAGGGGCCATCCCTACTTGTAGCACTGTATTGTGTGGACTCATGTTCACTACCGTTAGTGCCTGCTCAATACTGCCAACATTGTGTTGTACTAGAAAATCCCAGTCCATTGTCCATTCAGAGTTCATCTGGACTTACCTCTCTAAAAAAGAAAAAGAAGAAAAAACAAAAACAGAGACCTTTTTCCTCTGTTGTGTTAGCCATTACAGGTCATAGAGACAGAGATGAAGACCTCAGAACACCATTGAAAGTTGGTGGATGTTTTGCCTGGTCACAGGTGTAAGAGTACTCAGATAGATATCAGGGAATGTGTGCTTCTGTGTGCACCATGTTTACATTTGGAATGAGTGATAGCAGATGAAATAAAATGAGACCACTAATGTTTTTCATTTTTTTAAATATCAGGTACTCATTTTCTTAATTTGAGGATTCAGTTTAACATTACTCCTGAAGGCATCTCTTCCCAACCAGAAGAGAATGGCGAGGGTGGTGAGAAAATCATTTGACCTTGCCTGCTGTTTCATGTCATAATAAGGGTGTATAAGGGTACCCTCCATATAGTGTTAGGTCCTGCTCTAACTCGAGAACAGTCACTTGGCGCACTTTAATAATCTGGCACATTCCAGATTGTAGTTTAGATACTCCATGGTATCTATCTTTTATGATCAGTTGAATGATCAGTGTTTAAGCCTAGAACAGTGCTTTCCTGAAAATGTTTATATTTTATTGCTGTTTCCTTATTGACTGCTAACCAAATGAAATTAGCGTCAGCAATTGTTGAAATCCTGTTTTTCCTTACTCTACTTGGGTCCTAAAAACCATAACTGTAAATAAGAAGTTGAAGCAAGTGCCACCCTGGAGAGGAGTGATGCACTTGGCTTCATCAGTATTAAAACCATGGTACTTACTTGTCTTTTTTTTTAATTCAGAACATTTTCTAAGTGTGGTACTTTGAACCTTGGGGTATTTACATATGTTCCTGTTGAAAACTGTGACTTATTGGTGTAAGTCTAACTAGCTGTGATTTTTCTATTTGGTTCAGCTTAAGATGTATTTCAGAATATATTTGCCAATTATGTTGTTGCTAGGTAATTCTTTTTACATTGTTACTAGGTAATTATTTTTAAAGATTTTTAACACAGACTTGTCCCATAAAAAATCATGACTGAAAAATGTATTTTTCTAAATGACTTTTGTTGTTAGTTGTCTTTTCTCTTTGCTCTTTTGGGGAGCCCACCACCCAGCTCCCAAATTAATCACATGGAGACTTACTATCACTTATAACTGTCCAGCCTTAGCTTGGCTTATTTCTAACCAGCTTTTCTTAAATTATCCTGTCTACCTTTTGCCTATGGGCTTTTTCCTTTTCTTATTTCTGTAATCTTATTTCACCCTTACACTGTGGGTGGCTGGGTGGTTGGCCCCTTCTTTTCTTGTTCTTGATCTCTCTTGCTTCCCGATCCCTCTTTTCCTCTTATTTATTCTCTCTGCCTGCCAGCCCCACCCATCTTTTCTCCTGCCTTGCTATTGGCCATTCAGCTCTTTATTAGACCAATCAGGTGTCTTAGACAGGCAAAGTAACAGCTTCACAGAGTTAAACAAATGCAACATAAAAGAATGCAATCCATCTTTGCATCATTAAACAAATGTAACACATCTTAAAGTAATATTCCACAACAGACTCGGGCAAGAATCATGCTTAGTTGTAACTCCAGACCCATGCTAAAGTTCAAAACAGTCCTTTAAATCTGACAGACTTAGAGATCCCATTAACTACACTGTGTTGTAGATGTTTAAAAAAAAAAAAAAAAAAAAAAAAAGTAGCCACTTAATACATTTCTCATGAAATTCCTATTTAGATTCTCCAAAATGTCTACCTAAAAAGGACCAGTGGTCCAGATAAAAGAGTTCAAGACTCTTTAGTGGTTTTAAATCTTCTGTCGGTTGTTTTGTTGGGGTTTTCTCTCCTCCCAAGAGGAACTGTTTCCTAGCCTTTCCTTGTTGTTGTTTTGAGACAAGGTCTCACTATATACCCCTGGGTGGCATGGAACTTATAGAGATCTACCTGCCTCTGCCTGGAAGATCCACTTCCTAAGTCCTGAAAGTAAAAGCATGGTCCACCTCATCCAACACCCCTAACATTTCTAATATCAAATTCCCAATTACAAATATTTTTAAAGATCATAGTATCAAAAGGGCCAAAGGTATATACATGTATAACTGTTTGAGAGCTCAGTCATCTAGTTCTATTATTTATGTGACCCTTTAAACAGCCAAATGGACAGGAATTAATTGGCCAGTTTGGCACAGTGTAAAAAGAGAACTATATATATCTTTCCTTAGATGAAGTCTTTTCCAGTCAGAAATCATGTCCACAGGACCTTACGACAATCAAGACCCTCCAGGGGCCTACTTTGCTCTGTGCTCTTGAGTACTGTGAGTCTTAACTTCATGATCTCCTCATTCTACCTTTTACAAAGAGCATTTGAAAAAAATATATGGCAGCTCACCTCTCCCTAAAACCTGGAGACCCCAGAAAAGACAGAAGATGATGGGGGAGATGATGGATGCTCACTAGCTCTGAGCTGTGTCCATCCACTCAGTGTGGTGACGTGTAGTATGTTTTGTTTAGCTTTGTTTTACATCGTCATCTGATAAGACAGTGGGCAATAGCAAAGGTCTTTACTCCCAGGAATATAACTTATCAAATCAAACTACTTTGTTTACCAAAGAAACATTTTTTAATTTCACGGGTAATAACAAAGAGTCAAAACTGGGCTCTCGTTTTACCAACAGAAAGCATCACATGACTGATGGCTGTGGCTTTTGTTTGTGTTTCCAAGACCTGATTTCATTCTTTTACTGGAAAAGCTCATTCAAGCCATGTTTTAAAAAACAGATTTCTTTTAAATGAATGCACCTTCTAATTTGCTTTATGTACTGTTGAATGGCCTATAAAGACAGACTCAGCAGAGCTTTCTAGTGTCCTTACATATGTGACAAATACAAAACTCATTCTAGAGTTAAATTACTGATCTTGATTGATTTTTAACCTGGGAATTAATATGTTGCTAGTAAATACTGGTTTTTACAGTGTCTAGTTTGAAAATGTAAGTTATCAAGACGTAATATAGTGAATTTGTGTAACCATGTTGTATTGTTGAGAATGTATTTTTATTTAAATTTTATTTTCTTATGAAGAGTATTATAAAAATTAAAACCTTTTGTAACTGTCGTTTGAAAATAACTCAAATAAAGTACAAGAAGCCTGTCTGTTCTTTGTGAGACATTACTTAAAATCTCTGCTCCTTGCCTATTGTGGGTGATATAATACAGGAAGACTCCAGCAGCAGCGTCTGGGAAGCCCCGCTGTGCTTTGCTTGCACTTGACCAGGCCACATCCTTAGTTATTATTTGTTCACCAGACATCTCTCTGTGACCTTCAGCATTCGTCAGTGCAGGGAACCATGGGAGAATATGTTCCACTCTTGTCTGGGCAAGCAGCTCAGAGCTAAACCTGTTCAACGTTTTTTTTTTTTTTTTAAGATTTTATTTATTTATTATATATACAATGTCCTACTTGCACATTTGCCTGCACGTCAGAAAAGGGAAGAGGGCACCAGATTTCATTACAGATGGTTGTGAGCCACCATGTGGTTGCTGGGAATTGAACTCATGACCTCTGGAAGAGCAGCCAGTGCTCTTAACCTCTGAGCCATCTCTCCAGCCCCCTGTTCAACTTTTTAAAGAAGGCCTTTCTGCTCTTAAAAAAACAAACAAAAAAACAGAACAAACAAACAAAAAAAACACAGCATTAAAGTCTCTGATGACTTAGATCCTACACTGACCACTTAGGTACCCATCGCTGCCTGTCTGTATCCATCTGAATGTTAGTTAGCATTTGGCCATGTTGTGCTGTGTTGACAAGTTAATCTCAAGAATACATGTCAGCTGCCCCAAAGACTAGGCTAGAGATGACTCAGACTCCCACAGGAGAGCTAGATCTTTCTGTTTTGGTTTTTGAGACAGGGTTTCTCCGTGCTGTTTTTGGAGCCTATCCTGGAACTTACAGTTAGACCAGGCTGGTCTCGAACTCACAGAGATCCACCTGCCTCTACCTCCCGAGTGCTGGGGTTAAAGGCGTGCCACCCAGCCAGGAGAAGTAGATCTTAAGATCTTTTCCTATGCTCCTCAGAATCCCTGAACACCCATAAATAAACACAACAGCTCCTGTGACTCCCTGGGAATTTTAAGATTAACGAAGAAGGATGGGGGGGGGATGATTCTCTCATGCTAGCCCTGTGTGAACTAAAACTTGTAATAAACAGGGTTTTTGTTGTTGTTTTTTCTTCCTATAACAGTTCTGGCTGTCCTGGAACTCACTGTAGACCATGCTGGCCTCGAACTCACAAAGATCTGCCTCCTGAGTGTTAGGAGTAAAGGCATGCGGCATCATCACCAGCCCCAGTATTCTTTCTAATAGTTTATTCTCAGGGCAGGTGTTGGTTGGGTGTTTTGTTTCAGTTTTGTTAATTCTTACGTAGCCATTGGTTAGCCTTGAACTCCTCTCTGTACTCCCAGTGCTGGTATTAAAAGTATGCATCACCATGCCTAGCTCTTCTTCCTGATTAAGTATGCTGTTCTTTAAAGGAGGGGAGCCATACTTTACATTTCTTTTTCCAACATACATGATTCCAAAGTGAAAAAAGCCTAAGCTAAGCTGAGTTGCTTTCTACTCCACTTAGGTGCCAGGTGCTACACTCCTCTGCAAGCTCTTTACACAATGACTTTTTGGATGATTGGATATTCTTAAATAAACTGACCAGTATCCTTTTATCTTAATTTTTCATATGTATCATATATATGATCATATATCATGATTGAATTGGTCTCCAGAAATTAAGGATGGATCAACATCTGCAAATCAGCCAGTGTAATAAAGCACAGATGACTCAGTACAGAAAATTATACATATGTTGATAAAGTTTTCAAACCAAGTAAGGAAGGAACATAAAGTCAGTATACAACAGACTGATAGCTAAATAAGGAAAAACTGAGTGAGAGAGCATGTCCATTCTCATGCTTCAGAATGGTGCTTGAAACTAGCCAGAGCAATAGGAAGAAAGAGAATATAAACAAGAAAAAGATAAAATCTAAAAAGCCCTTAACAGTCATGAATCAGAGTTGCTATTGTAGAAATGGACATAACTAATTTACATATTCAGTACAGTCCCTATTAAAATTCCAATGAAATTCTTCCCGGGAGTAAGGGGGAGGAAATCCCAACTGTAAACAAAAGTTCCCCTAATAGCCAAAGCAATGTGAAGATAGAGAAGCAATGCAGATAGAATAATGCTCCATTTCATATTCTACAACTGTGCCATAGTAACCAAACCAGCATGGAGCCTGGCACAAAACAATGTAGACCAATGGAATAAAGGGCTCAAAAATAAACTCAGGAAATTATAATGGTATGATTCTTGACCAAGATGCCAGAAAAGCTTAACAGAAAAAAGTTTGGTACTGGGAAAACTGAAAAGCCTGCAGCAGAAGCCCTAATGTAAGGCTTCACAGAGCTGCAAGGTAGTTAGTGCCTTTGTCCTCAGTGGGAGATGCTACCAGCCCCACTGTCCATCCTCCAATTGGGAGATACCTTAAGAGACACCGAGAGTAGGAATGAGGAAGCCAGATACAGGAGTGGAAAGTAGTTTGTGGACCAGCCCAGCTCAAAGCCACCACCTAACACTAGACAACCCAAGAATGTTCTGAGGTGTGAGGGCCCAGTAGGAAGTATGGGGGGACAGCCACACCAGGCATCAGTAACCTGGGGCATGGGCCACAGCCTGAGGTGGCAGATGCATTGGGTGGCAGCCCTGTGTGCGTCCTGGGAGGCACGCTGCTTCCAGAGCAGGGCACTGTGGCACAATGGGGCCAAGTCACCCCTGGCCTTGGGCTGCCAGCTGTGCAGCTCCACTCAGCTCCCTTCTTAACGGGCTGGCTGAACTTGTGCCCTTGTCCCCAGGCCTCAGCCAGAATGTACTTGTTATCAACATTTCCCCCAAGCTCTGAGGATTCGCCAGCCTGTGGACACTCTCCCAGGCCACCACCTTTCTCTAGCTCAGTCTTGGGCACCAGGCTTAAACACCCAAAGCTTGGCAAGTTCAGACAGCCACAGAATCTACATTAAACCCCTCCCACGTCTGGGTGTGGGACCAGGCAGGTAATTCCCTGAGTGTGGCCCTGTGCCTAGTAAAAGTAGCCTATTATTTATTTGTCTATTTATTGATTTATTGAGACAGGATCTCACTAAATAGGCTTGGCTGGCCTGGAACTCATCATGTAGACTAGGCTGATCTCAAATTCACAGATACCCTCCTTGCCTCTGCCTCTGCCTCCTGAGTCCTGGGATCAAAAGCTTGGACCACCACACCTGGCCTAGAGTGACCCACCTTATTAAACTGTGAACAATTCCCTTCTCCAACCTTGCACCTGTCCTAGAGTGACTGACCTTATTAAACTGCAAACAAATCCCTTCCGCAACCTTTGCAAGCCAGTTTCCCAGCCATGGCTTACACTTTTGGAGCTTTGGAAAGAGATGCATTAGGCTAGTTTTCAAAGTGAGGCCCCAGCCACACCTGAGCACTTACTAGAGGGGCAGCCCTTAAAGCCAACCCAGGCAACCTGGGTCAACAGAGGGCCCAGCGAGAGTCTCTGTAATGTGCACTAGTGGGGTTCAGAGGCTCTTCAGGTTGAAGAGCCCCTGCATGAGCCATTCGAAGCTGGTCTGGAAAGGTGGCTGGCCGTGGGTGGCAAACCGTGGGCAACCAGCCTGGACTTGGTAGCCACTGAGGAGGGAACCCAGCCTTGTCCCCATTGTCCCACTGGGGGAAGGCAATTCCTGGAAGCGCAGGTTCTTCTGACTTTGGAGGCGTGGACACCGGGAGAGAAGGCTGAAGCTGTGTCCATGTGGCAAGGAGCCATCCAAGATAAGAAATTAAAGTTCCCCAAATATTATTGTTGAGCATACTCAGGACAGCTCTAGCGTGGTGCCTTTTACACAAATATTGTCAGTCACAGTAAGCATGTTGATCTTCTTTTACCTTCGGCAAATAAGGAAACATCTGTGGCGCTGCTGCTGTTTGTTTATTTTTGAAGGAGCTTCGTAATGGTGGAAATATTTCGTACAAGATTAGAGAAGCCTGGGGCTAAAGCCATGCCCCTGAGGCAGAGTGAGGCGTTAACTGGTAAATAATGTAGACATTCCCTTCTAATTAAGACCTCAGTGCGTGAATCCTTACATTTTTAAGTGTCAAGATCACAGCCATCTGGCCTCTCAATAAAATACAAGGTTTCCCTAGTGGGAAAGGAAGCCAGACTTGACAGAGGGTGTTTGGCCCACCAGCCTCAAATGACAGTGCCATTTTTGTGCCTGTTTCCTCATTGCTTCTCTGAAGCTGAGAGAAGCCACAGGTGGCTGTGGACTCAGACTTTCAGTCTTTTCTTGAGCAGCCTTTCTGTGTGGATTCCTAACTGCGGTGCCGGACAATGCTGCCAGAAACTGCTCACCTAAAAATTTTGTGGACCTTCATGATACACATCTAATGCAAGCAAGACGGGCTCATTGGGGTGTGAAGACATCACAGAAAGTGGAACAGTTCGGGGAAGAGCATTGTGAAGCCTGCAGACGTGGCTCAGTGCTTGCCCAGCATGTGCAAAGTCCTGAGTTCAAATCCCCATCTCTCCAGAAAAAAATGAGCAGGGGCATAACAGCAAAACTTGACACCAAAGTGGGAAGTGTGTGGCCCGTGTTCATTGTCATCGTCGTACCCCCCACACACACACACACACACACATTCTTGGTTTTCTTTTATTCTATTTTATTTATTTATTTATTTTTTTTGAGACAGGGTCTCTTTCTCTACGTGGTCCCAGCTGGTCTAGAACTCATGATCCTCCCTCATTCTGGGATTACAGGCTTGCACCACCTCCCAAGCTTCTGGATTTCTTTCTGGAGAAAGGCAAGATAGAGAAGAAGGGTGTTTGGAATGAATGTCTTCACGATTGGACTGAGAAACAAAAGCACACTTGCCCACAGACACTTGAAAACTAAAGTTTAGACAGTTTTATTGCCAACATTCAGAAAGGGTGGGAACAGAGTTTACTTCCCAACAACCTAGCCCCACCCCATAACCTTCTGGGGGCTTCAGTCTGAAGTGGCCAGCTGCCTCGCTTCACTGCCTCGGGTGTTCCAGTGTTGCCTCCTTCACTGCTCC